TCACTATAATCAAAGTGCTTATATATCAAAAAATCTCTATAATAACAGTGATTATATATTAAATAATCACTGTAATCACAGTGATTATATACAAAATAATCCCTATAATCAAAGTGATTATACATCAAATAATCACTATAATCAAAGTGATTATATATAAAAAAAATCATTATATATAAAATGATCACTATAATCACAATGATTATATATTAAATAGTCACTATAATATAAGTGATTATATATCAAATAGTCACTATAATCACAGTGATAATATATTAAATAATTACAGTGATTATATATTAAATAATCACAGTGATTGTATATTAAATAATCACTATAATCACAATGATTATATATTAAAAAATCACAGTGATTATATATCAAATGATCACTATAATCAAAGTGATTATATATTAAATAGGCACTATAATCACAGTGAGTATATATCAAATGATCACTATAATCAAAGTGATTATATATTAAATGATCACTATAATTACATTTATTATATATCAGATGATCACTATAATCACTGTGATTTTATATCAAATGATCACTATAATCACAGTAATTATTATATATCAAATAATCACTATAATCAAAGTGATTATATATTAAATGATCACTATAATCACAGTGATTACATATCAGATGATGACTTTAATCAAAGCGATTATATATAAAATGATCACTATAATCACATTGATTATCACTTTTATAGTGATTATTTAGTATATAATCACTGTGATTATTTAAAATATAACAACTGTGATTATAGTGATTATTTAATATATAATCACTGTGATTATAGTGATTTTTTTAATATATTATAACCGGGATTATAGTGATCATTTAATATATTTTGTATATAATCATGTTTATGGTGATTATTTAATATATTATCATTGTGATTATAGTGATTATTTGATATATAATCACGTTGATTATAGTGATTATTTTGTATGTAATCACTGTGATTAGAGTGATTGTTTAATATATTATCATTGTTATTATAGTGATTATTTAATATATTATCACTGTGATTGTAGTGATCATTATATATATTTTCATTGTGATTATTCAATATATAATAACTGTGAATATAGTGATTATTTGATATATAATCACTTTGCTTAAAGTGATTATTTTGTATGTAATCACTGTGATTATAGTGATTATGTAATATATAATCACTGTGATTATAGTGATCATTATGTATATTATCACTGATTATTTAATATGTAATCACTGTCATTATAGTGAATATGTAACATATAATCACTGTGATTATAGTGATCATTTAATATATAATCACTTTAATATTAGTGATCATTTGATATCTAATCACAGTGATTATAGTGACCATCTGATATATAAT